GGAGAGAGGGAGGGAGGGAGGGAGGGAGGGAAAGAGAGAGAGAGCGCGCACAGGAGTGCATGAGCGATGGCCAGCAGTCCAAGCATTATTTCCTAGAGAACTGCTGTTAGTGCAGGAAAAAAAAAAAAAAAAGACTATGCTGGACCAGCTACATCCTTTGCCTGTGCTGTGTACTCACAATTTTCTCTCCTCACACTAAAGCCTCATTCAATCACTCATGATCTTACAGCGTTCAATAAGAATGCTGTAACCAAGACACACGAAAGCAATTCTTTAAACAGGCAGTGATTTAAATGCAAAAACTACTTCTAAAAACAAACAGAATCAACTTATCGATTACAAAAGAATCAACCTATCAAGCACAAAACGAAAAAACATTACGCTGTACCATATATTTAATAAATTCTTAATGAGTAACAAGAGAATTTTAGTTGAGCATGGTGGCCCGTGCCTGGAATCCCAGCTACACAGGAAGCTGAGGCAGGAAGATCACAAATTTGATTACAGCTTCAGCAACTCACTGAGACCCTCTCTCAAAACAAACAAACAAACCAAAAAAAGAAAAAGAAAAGGGTTGAGATGTCGCTCAATGTGAAAGCCCTAGGCTCAATATTTTTCTTGTGTAGATAAAAACGAGTGGTTTAAAGGCATTTTATCATACAGTAGTGGATGGGTAGAGCCCCATGAGGGACAATGCCCGTGAAATTCTGAGTGCAGGTGCAGTCATCATGTGCAAACACAAGAAAAAGGGATAAAAAAATTCCACTCACAAACACCTGTCTGTGAGGAAACTTCTTTCCCACAAAGAATAAATCAAAAGATGAAGCTATAAGTAAGGGTTTAAGATATCTTATGGTTCTGCAAGATAAAAATTGCTTAATTTTTTTTCTTTTTTGGCTTTTTGAGACAGGGTCTCACTATGTAGTTGAGACTGACCTGGAACTCACTAGCTAGCTGAGGCTGGTCTCGAACTCACAGTGATCCTCCGGCCTCAGCCTCCCGAGTGCTGGGATTACAGGCGTGCGCCACCACGCCCAGCTTTAACTTCTTATAGTAAGTATTCTTTGCAATTATTCTTGAAAAGAGTGGGGTTGCTAGAGCCTTTAGAACAAATGCATGTGCCTCCGATGAGAAGAACACACCTTTCTACCTCGCAGGGCCTTTACCTGTCCCTGCAGCTCTCTGTGATCACAGCGTCTGCACATGGGCAGCAGCTCCCTCCTGGTCAAGACCACAGGTGTCAACATCAGGGCCGCTGCCTCGCTCAGGGTTTTGGAGCAGGCGAAGCGGAGCTGTGAAGGAGCTCCTCTCCTCTGTTTAGTCAAGCATGTAAAGAGTGAGATCTAAAGGCTGAGGCAGGAGGACAAGTTTGAGGCCAGCCTGAGCTAAGTAGTGAGTTCAGGGCCAGCCTGGACAGTGCAGCAAGACCCCCTCTCAAAAGAAAAGAAAAAGGAACTATGGGAGATATGAGGTCTTGTGTGTTCAAGAAAAATTAGGTGAATTTTGTGTTTCTCTCAGCCAAGAATGAGTCTGGTGGACCGGAAGGGAGAAGGAAGCTATTATAATAGTGTACCACGAAGAGCAAAAACGCCTGAGTTAATCCTGCATCAGGCAAATGGAGAGATCACCCTTGCCCTGAAGGAGAAAAAGGGAGGAAAAGAGTTAAAGGTGATTTTTTTTTTTTTTTTAAGTTTACATCGTATTCCTGCTTGTAGTACTCAAAATTCCAAAGCGCAGGAGGGCTCGGCAATCCCTGCGATGCCTGGGAGACGCCTGCTTTCACTCACAACTTCATCACTGTAACTGACATTCAGTTTACACTGCTCTCATGTGAATGAAGTGACATCCGTGCACGAGTGAGGGGACTCTCTTCGCTGTCTCACGTCTGACGTGTCTGAGGACATTAACAGTAATATAAATGCAAAAGAAATAGAGGGAAAAAGACGCAGCGAAGAGAGCTCTTAGGACACAGGTAAGTGTGGCACAATCAACTGCTAGCATCTGTCTTGATCCTTTCACAAACATATTCATCTGGATACGCAGGATTATTTATTCAGAAATAGCATAAATTCTAATGAAGAATGGACTTTCTACCCCTTTTATTGTGACTGGAGGTAAATAAACATAATTCTTTAAATAATGCATACCTTCTTTGTGCTATTAAGTTTTCCTGGCTAGCAAATTTACTTTCCAGACTATGAACTGCAAAGGTGTTTAGAGTGCCAAAATATCTACCAGTGGGAGGCAGTAGCCCCCCAGACTCACGGAACTTGTATACAGGTTTGCTTTCTTTGATTTCTGTGGAAGTGGGAGTGAACCCAGGGCCCCACCAGGCTATACAACCACTGAGTGACATCCCCGGCCTCCGCAGTTTTACCGAGAGGCTGAGACGGAGCTTTAGCACACAGCCTGGAGAGGCACAGACACTGACACTCCACTAGTGCAGAGTGGAACGAAACTCCATCTTTCTGGGTTCCCTGTCAGGTGTGTCGTGAGAGAAGGCGCAGACTGTTGACATGTACTGCAGCTTTAAGGAAAAACACGGCAACCCGGGCATGATGGTGCACACCTGTGATCCCAGCACTCGGGAGACTGAAGCAGGACGGTCGCTGTGAGTTCAAGACCAGCCTGAATCACACAGTGAGTTCAAGGCCAGCCTGCAACACCGAGCGAGACTCTGTCTCTCTCTCTCTCTTTTTTTTTTTTTTTTTTTTTTTTGTATAAGGGATAGAACTTGGGACCTTCTGCTTTTGAGGCAGGAGGTGAAATCACTAAGCTAAATCCTGCCCCTGACCCTGTCTCAAAATAAAAACCAACCAACCAACCAACCAAACAAACAAACAAAAAAAAAAGAAAGAAAGAAAGAAAAAAGGACCTTCAGTGTCCTTTAGAGCTTTTGATGATTATACAAAATCCTTCTTTTCTTTCTTCTGTGGGGCTTACTCCAGTACATTTACTTTTCAACATCAAAACATTGCTTCTTCACTTTCTTTTTGTGTGTATGCAATGTTACTCCGGACACAAGCAGCTCATAATGCTGTCCCACACCCCTCTCTGGACACCCTGCCTCTCCATCCCTGGTCCCCATACATACTCCCACCCCTTCATCATAGTGGCAGGAG